TTTTTAATAAAATAATAAAGTAATTATTTTATAACCTATTTTTATGAAAAAAAAAGTATCTAAAACAACAATGAAAAAGTTTAATTTTTATGTTAATTTAATTTCTGTCACTTTTTGAATGTTATCTGGTTGAAAACGTTTTCTAGTATCTATTGAACTTTGGAAATGAAATATTTTGTAGATCAATCCAAAATCCATTCAATTAACCCAATTATTCAATGTTCAAAATAGCCATTTTTTTCTCTATTCATTCAGTTAATTTAAATAGTTGTTTTTCGTTCAGCATAATTTCGTTCGTGAAAAAAAAGTAAAGAATAAATTAATTATTGGAATATTAGACATTCAACAGATGATTGATGATTTACTTTCGTGTTTAACAATAAAAATATAAATCAATATAAAAACCTAACATTAATTTGACTTGTATGGGATTTACAAAAGAAAAAGCTGATAAAGATTTATAAACTGTTTCATATTTTATAGTTTTTTTATATTTTATTTAAAAATAATCATGTCAAATATAACTATGTCCCTGTTTTTTGAAAATAATTCAACAGATACTCTTAACCCGATTATTTGTTAATTTTTCTGACAAAAAAAATTCAATACTAAAAATAAAACAGTTTAATTTAGTTTGGTCCCTGGTTTATTTTCTATCTGTAAGAAATCATACTTTTTTCAAATTGTCAACGAACCAATTATTCAATAAATTGTTGACAATCAAGTGTATAATATACATTTTTATAAAACACAAAACGTGGGATAATAAATTAATTTATTCAACTTATCCTGAATAGAATTTTATAATAATGTTAGAAAAATTTTTCACTTTAAAAACAATTAATATTTTAAATATTTTTTAGAATTATAAATTTTAAATGAAACTAAAAATAATAAAATTTTATTTCACTATGAAAATAATTTATAATTATTATAATTATAATGAAAAAAAAATGGAACTAAAAAATGAAACAAAAAATTGCCCCATATTTAGTTAATATATATGATGACCACTAGAAAAATGTCTAACATGTTATTTTATTCTATTTTTATGTATAATTTCTGGTTTTAATTTTTTTAAACCCCGTTTTTTAATTGTTTGGTCAATTTTTTCGTGTTAAAATTTATTCCTTTTTGGTTTATTTAATAATAAAAATCACAAATGTATAGCAATTTTTAATGTTGGTATATAAATTTATATTTATGATTTCATCTATCTTTTTTATTTGAACAAAAACATGTAAAACTATTTATAAAAAAAACATTCATTTAATTAATTTGTTATAAATTATTTTTTATATTAAATTGTATATCTTATATAATTAAGAAAAATTGTCAATGTAATAATGTTGGATTTTATTAAATTGTTTCCGAATATTTAGAACTTGAATTGTCATGTATTATATAGTAGTAGCATTATTGTTTGTAAAAGTTTTTAGTTTAAAATGGTGCAAGTATGACGACTTTGTTATTTGTGTTGATGATAGTGATGGTTGTGACAATTTGGTTGTTAACAACTATTTACCTCTTCAAAACCAAAGTAGTTTAATCAATTTAATTGTGTGCAAAAAAGACGTATATTTGTATGTTGAAGTGTCACGTGGTAATTTTACATTTGTTGAGTTTTCAAAGTTGAACATAGCATTTACTTTGAAAAAAGAGCCGAACATAATTAGAACAACACCAATAATAAAAAATACAACAAAACAATATATAGAAAAAGAGTGTCTTAAATACAAATGTGAGATTCAACAAAACAATGGATATGGATGTCATTGTTTACAATACAAAACATTCAACACTTTAAACCCAAAATCAGATGCTTATTGTGATGCCAATTGTAAAAGATGTGTTGATCATATTCCGAGTTACTGCACTGAGTGTAAAACTGGAGGAACACTTAGTCTATTTACCTGTACATATTGGCAAAACTGCGATGATTATCAGTGTGTCGACCTACCAAATGGAGGGTGGGGGTGTTCCGCTTGCAAGTCTGGTTATTATCTCCACATGATTTATTGTTACAAATGTGCAGATAAATGCAGTGAATGTACTGATACTTCCACAACTTGCACTAGTTGTGCCGAAGGGTATTATTACAATTCAGCTTTTGTTTGTCTTCCATGTGAAATCAAATGTGCACCAAGACATTGCAAACCAGACAAAAAATGCGATCAATGTGTTGCACATTATTACCTTGATAAATCTCTGAGTTGTCTTGCGTGTTCTTCTGCATGTGGCAATTGCATAAATCAAAATTATTGCACATCTTGTCCACGTACAAACCAATACGTTCAAATGGGGTTTGGTACAACTGTTACGGTGGATGCTCGTCCTGGTATGGAGGTTTGAATGGGCAGTGGTATGGATGCAATAATGGGTTTTTTCGACATACTCTGGAAATATCAAATCGTATGGATATCAGTGTAAGTCTTGGTTATA